TTTTGATACATCATCAAACAGGTTTTAGTAATTATGATCCTTATAAAATTACATTGCTTTGAAACTGCTGTTGCAGACAAGAAAAAGCAACACTGAACTAACAGATAAATCTTCTGTATTGTTTTCAGAGGTGGTGTGTGCTGCTCCTTCCATCTACCTGGACTTTGCTCGGTCCCTTCTGGATCCTGGAATCGGGGTCTCAGCCCAGAACTGCTACAAGGTGGCGAAAGGAGCATTTACAGGAGAGATCAGGTGTGTCAGCCACTGAGAGACAAAATAGTAAAATAAAAAAACAAACATGGTTCTGACTGACTTTATGTTTCATATAAGTGCTTCTTTTCTTATCAACTAAGGGTTGGAAAACCCTAAAGTCTTCCCATATGTCATATGCTCAGATCTGTGTTGGAGGAGGTAAACTCTGAGAACATTGGAAATGTGTTTTAGAAAATGAAAAACAGATTTCAACATTTTCCAGCGCTGTAGTAAAATCATACTTTGTTAAAATAAATACAATCTGTTGTAGTTCAGCTCTTTAAGAGGTGGCCTGCTCCCCACCATGTCCCCCCCCCCCCTCTGCCTCCTTCCAGCCCGGCCATGATAAAGGACTGCGGGGCAGACTGGGTGATCCTCGGACACTCAGAGAGGCGCCATGTGTTCGGGGAAAGTGATGAGCTAATCGGCCAAAAGGTGAGACTTTATTCCTGCTACAGACTGTTTATTTCACAGACTGACTGCTATGTCTGTCTGCGTCATTAGAAAATTATAGTTGAAGTCCTTTTTTTATTATTCTTTTCAGTTTATTACCCTCAGTTAATTAGAAACATATTCTGTTTCCTAAGACTTTTCCCATTTCTTCTTTAGTGCTGTGAAAAAACAGAAAATTAAACAATCAAAAGTGCAAGAAATCTGTAATAAACAAAATTATTTTTCACAGTACTGTTTGTTGATTTGAATGTTTGAAAATATTTTCTTCTCAGTAAATTAATAAAAAACATCTGGGATTTAAGTAATTTTGTTGCGATAATGGTATCAGGTCATATCTTCGGGATCAAAATGCCTTTATTGTCGTTGAACAGAAGCAAAATGGAATTTCTTACAAACACATGAGATGTGGTAGATAAAGCATTGACTAAGTTATGATATCTGCAGGTTGCTCACGCTCTGGAGAGCGATCTCGGAGTGATCGCCTGTATCGGTGAGAAGCTGGAGGAGCGAGAGGCAGGTACCACAGAAGAAGTCGTCTACGCTCAGACGCAGGTTATTGCAGGTGAACAAAACTTTCATGGTTCTTCCCGGCTCTGTTTTTCTTTTTTGTTTTTTTTTCCATTTCCTTTCTTTTTTTATTTTCTTTGGTCTAAGTTTTACAGTTTCCTTTTGTTTTTTTTTCTGTCTTAAAAAAATATATATTGGCCAACTAACAGATAATTAAATATTGTATTTAAATAGGTTAATTATTACATGAAAAGCGATCAACAAATAAAGTTGGAATGGATTGGGAAGATTGGTTAAAACCTGCAAACCAGTTGTTTTGTGTGTGTTTTACTCTACATTACGTAACCTGATTAATGATCTTTTCTCTGGTCACATGTCGGCCTCATGCATTTTTCTCCTGTACTGAATCTAGGTTGCTCACTGCTTTAAAATGTAAATAGGTCAGTGGACTCTGCTGCAGCAGAAATTTTAGGAGACACAGCTGTGTCTGCAGCTTCCCACTGCTACAAGGACACATTTCCATGTGAACTTTTCTTTCTGTTTGTGTGCAAACGTTTCTTTGCAGACTTTGTGTATTTGCTTGGCGGATTACTCTGTTTATGAACAGATTGGGTTAATTACAGCTTTGAGCTTTCATTTGCAATGCATGGATTAAAGGGATGTTGTGTTGCAGAAAATGTGACGGACTGGGGGAAAGTGGTGCTGGCGTACGAACCTGTTTGGGCCATCGGCACTGGAAAGACAGCCACACCTGAGCAGGTAACTATAAAGAAGGGACAGAGGAGCTTTGGCTGCTTTGTCTCAAGAGGCTTAGAAAGCACAAAAAACTCAACTAAGCCTAAAATAAAACATCAAACAAGAAAAATATGATTGAATGTTTTCTGAATGTTTTCTTTGTCTGAACTGTGCTGCCAGTCCAGAAAAAGTTACGAAAATTAATTTCAGTCATGGACGTCTACAGTTCCATAAAAGTCTTGGGACAAACGTCATCTGGGAAAAACTTGGTAATTGTGACCCAGATGATTTCATAATAACAATTACTTCTACATTTTTTTTTTTTGCCTCCACAGAATAAATTCACTAATGACAAAAGTTATTTTTTTTCTCCGAGTTTCAGTGTGAGATTATCCTGCTGCAACAGAACATATAACATTTATTTTAAGTGTTTTTACACACATTACCACAGCTGCTAAAGGGCGGTGGAGATCTGGATGGAAACGTGACCTAATGTGAATGATTATTAGATGACACCTGAAAAAAGGTGCTTTTCTAGAGCAATTAGGGGCTGCCAGGTAGAAATATAGAGTGGCACAAAAATTTGCAATACAAATGAGAAAGAACAAGAAGAATAAAGTGTCTGACGTAAATACAGGTGTGAAGGAATAAAAACACGAACTTGTAGAAAAACTGGTTTGCATGAACATTCAGATTTAGTGTTTTATTTCCAAGAACTCTTTTATTTTTCTGATATATTTGAATTTGAGAGACTTATTGAACATTCCCAGATTGATTTCTGATTTTATAATTTTACTTACTTGATAGATGTATAATATGTATTCCTTCCTTAGGCTCAGGAAGTTCATGAAAAGCTGAGGGCTTGGTTCAGAGCAAATGTATCAGATGATGTGTCTGAGTCCCTGCGCATCATTTACGGAGGTTAGTGGTGATGCTTTACTGCATTTATTTCTTTTTTGCTACTATATTTAGCTGCTGTAGATATACTTGTCTAGTCGACCAGCTTCTTCTGTCGTCTAATTGGACACTTTTAATTCTTTCTGAAAGATCAGAATAAAGAAGTTAGTGAAGATTTTTTTTTAAAGTTTTGCGTTGTACTTTAAGTGTAGGTCTCCCTTTATTGTTGTGTCTTTTGCTTTTTTCAAGGCACCACTCTCAGTCGTGTTTCAGGTTTATTTCCTCCAAAGCTTTTTTTCTTACTGTTTCACTCACACTAATCGTCTGTTTGCTGGGTGTGTCCTCCAGGTTCAGTCACCGGAGCGAACTGCAGGGAGCTGGCGTCTCAGGGCGACGTGGATGGCTTTCTGGTTGGCGGAGCCTCTCTGAAACCGGAGTTTGTCGACATCATCAACGCACGTGCATAAAGTGTAAAGACGATCACTAAACTGGGATCACATTCACACTATTCTGTCGCACACTGCAGTTTTATGAGAACTAAGCTGACTCATGCACATACAAATGTCTGTTTTTTTCTGAATTTGTTGTTTTTTTTAATGTAATTTAATTCGTATTTGTCTAAAAAGTGAGATATAATTATCACTGAGATATTTTCAGTAGTTTTTAAGTTGAAAAGGACAATCTCATTATTACCTGCTCTTAATTTAACCTGTCAAGTTTTTTTTTTTTTGTAATTGCATCCATCAGTGTAGGTTTGCTTACAAAGTAATGTGATTCTTTTCACTCCTGTAACATTAGTCTCACCTGTATTCTAACACACAGTCTGTAATAATTACTGTTCCAGACAGAATTCCTTAAATTAACATATGCAAAGGAAATGTGAAGAGTCGGTGACTCTCAGTAGGTCTTAAAGCTTTATGACTGTATGTAGCTTCACCCTGGCTCAGGTTGCACTTTAGAAAACGTAGCGATCAGGGGACTGATCATTGTACACTGGAAGAAAATAAATAAAATGTGGGAACGTATTGCAATTGTTTTATCTTTATAAGGAACATTTTTGAGGGCAATTAACAGAAATATGCTTGGGGAAAGCGTTCTGTCTTTATTCATAAATATCTGCATTAGGTCTTTGCATAGAGTGCTTTTACAAACTATTATATGGCTTCCTATGCTGCTTGTGGAGTGTTGGCCTCTTTCTTGTTAAGTAGCCTTTCAGTCTGCAGGACTCATCAGTGTCCTGTTCTGACACATTTATATTTACGTTTTGTCTCGCTACAAGTGAATAACCTCTGTAAACTCTCAAGAAGGTAAAATCATGTTTATGTCTCACATTGGTAGTTTTTAGTATGAGCAAATTTGTTGCTTTTTGCAGCAATCCTCAAAATTCTTGTCTCCCATTTCTCCAGTCCCACACATTGAGCAGATTTTTTTCATATTTTGACAGATTTTCAAAAGGCATACCTACACAGCAGACCCTCACTAGTATTTTGCCTGTTCTAATGACTGTGAAGATAGCAGCGGGGGTTCTTGTATTAACAGCTGTAAATCAAACTGAGCCCACATGAGTAGGAGTGCAAATTAATCTGTCAACACCTTTACTGCCTTTAGATCGGCCCAACGGGAAATTTTAGAGACGTTGCGTTTTCAGAACCACTGCAGTTCTGTGAACGTTTGAACCCTGGAAGCAAACATGAAGAACAGGAACTGGAATAGAGCAGGAAAGCAGAGCCTTGTGGAGCTCCTCAAAGTACGCTGCAAGCTATCTGCGACTTGAGTGTAAGATTTTGCAACATTTTTAATTAACTACTGTAGCAATTGTATATGCATTTTTATATATGCTTATGTATTTAGATCTTATAATTTTCCTCCACAAAAACTCTGAGATAACTGGAGTGATCACAGAACAACTACTGGGATTTTAATTTACTTGTAGCCTTCAACATATTCCTTTAGTTCTCAAATGATATTTTTAAGTCACATATGTAATATGTAATCATAATACATCCAGTAGGTGTTATAAAAATCAACTTAGGGAGAAAAATTCAGATAAGTGCAAACACAGAGAGAGTAGAAACTGATTGAAATCTTAGAACATAATCTTTATTTCACATATTTTCACATTATTTTAATTGACAAGCGTTCCTTTATTGTTTTAATTTTTTTTTATTTTCATTGCTCTTTCTTCTTTTTTTGACACAGCTATTCTATGGACAAACAAGGGACGGGGGAACCAAAAGGGTCAAAGGTTCTCGGGTTTTAAGGATTTTCTTTTTTCTTTCAGGACAGAAGCAGGACTTCAGGCATGAAGGACAAATAATCAGATTCACACAAGGTTGAGAAGAAAACCAGAACAGTTAAAACTGAGACACAGACACAACGAGAAGGAGAGTAAAATATAGAGAGAGGAAAAAGGGAGGAGGATAGAGCTGGGAAGAGTGCAGGTTCTTGAGTGTCCAGGTGAGAGAGAGACACAGCTGAGAGAGTGTGTGTGTGTGTGTTTTGGTGTTGGAGTGCTCTTTATTGTTTTATTGTTGCTTTCACTCAGTTCCTACATCTGCATCATCCTCGTTTGGTCTTAAAAGTTTGACTTTTTCATCTCTTTCAGTTGCGTGCTTCAGACTATATTATTCTACAGAATTTCTACTTTTTCATCTCTGGTTTTTTACAACAATAATTGTTATCTTTGCAGGCCTGCCTCCTGGGTGTACATGAACTATTCCTACAGTAACAGTGCATGTCTGGCTTATAGATTCTAGGGTTTTCTTTAAAGTATTCCCCTGCATGTGCATTTTCAGGTGTTGCGACTGTGTGCATGTGTGTCTGTGTGTCTACAAACGGCATCACCTCCCTTCTTTTAAGTCTAGTGCATAATTGATTCATTTCTTTTGCTTAGCTCTTTTGCAATTGTATTTTTCCTGAATTTGAGTGATCGTTCTTTGTACATGGCTCATTCCTTGTTAGTCGTTTGTGTCAGTTTGCGTGGGCATTTTGCGTGCGTTGAGTGTGTGAGTCATTCTCGTCTGTCAGCTGGTTTCACAGGACGCTTGGGTTCCTGAAGTTATGGCCGGCGAAGCGAGCCTGGTCGCCCAGCTCCTCCTCGATCCTGAAAAAAACAGAGGCACAAGTCTGTGTGTTACAATTTTTTTCTATTTTGATGAATGAAAGGGGTCTTTTATGCAAAATTCATATTTTGCATGTTTTTGTACTTCCATTTGGGTCTGTGCTGCTTCTAAAATCAACCACTGTCCTTAAAAAACCCTCCAATCCGACTTATGGCAATGAGTGAGTTCATGTTTTTTTTGGTGTCTGAAAAATGACCAGTTTCAAAAGACTTCTGAATGTTAAGTCACAATCAGTAGCCACTACCTGTCACCTAACAATCCAAGTGAAGCCCAACCTGTCACCTAGCAACCCAAGTGAAGCCCAGCCTGTCACCTTGTCATCTGATTTTACCGCATTATGCACTGTACAATGGCTGCTGGAAAACTCGAGTATTTTGAAACCATTTGCTACATTCTTCTTGGTTGTGCAGAAGGTTCTACTTTGCTTTTCAAAAAAGTGCTTTTAAATAATTGTGCACATGTTTGCAGCCATTTTCACATGCGTGTAAATGTTGAGTTGTGGGTCATGTCCAGCAACAGTTTATTTGGAGTTAAAGTGACAAGAGGCAGTAAAACAGCTCATTCTGAAAGGAGCTTAAAATAGGCAGAACTGAAAAGAATGAAATCTCATTATCCAAGAATGATTTTGTCTGTAAAATTTAATGAATATATTTTGTGTAGCCATAAGCTTATCCTAACCTTTCAAAAATATTCTGATATTTATATTTTTTAACTTCATTACCAATCAAAAACAGACAATTTAAATACCTGATGATAAGGAGACTGAGAGTTCATGTCATCAAACATACCTGAGAATCCCAAATTTTTCATTTGCCATCAAACAGGGTAAGACAGTAGAGGTAAACCAAACAGAGTGACAAGAGAATCAAAAAAAAAAAAAGATGCACCTTAGTTAAGAAAAGTCACAACAAGCTTCTGCAGTCAAAGTTCTGAGAATATCCTTATAATTTAAAGTTCAAGATGCCAAACAATCAAAAAAAATATCCACCATACACTGGGCATAAGTCACATAGTTCCATCTCTTGTTAACGCTTGAAAAACTGCAAGCATTTGTATTTTTGCTGATAAGTCAAAAAATGCTTTTTTCGGAATATCTTACAACCAACCTGTAAGTGTGTAAAAACTGCTGCTAGTTGCTATGGAGATTTTGTGACCCACAAAGATGAGCGTTTTATTGTTTCTTCCTTCACCTTACCAGCCCAGCGTTATCTGCCACATTTCCAGTCCCATAACTCCCATTTAGTAATTGCTCTTACTGTGAAAGTTGTCTTGTTTAGGAAACTTTATATTTATTTGTTGTAATTTCCTGGCTCATGATGATCAAGGCAGATCTTGGTTGCCTAAATGACATGTTCTCTTATTGTTGCAGTTATTTGGTGGAAGAAAAATAAATATTGTTTTTTTAACATTTCATGATATTGACATGAGTTTGATTTAGACAAGTCAAACTTTTCACCAGCGTTTTCTTGCTCAACTGCACAGATTAGCATTTCTACCTGGTTAATACCACTCTAAGTCTTTCCAGCCTCCACCTCTCCCATGTGCTTCCACAGCAACCCAATGAGATTAAATCGCTGAGCCGATCCCTCCTCCTCCTACTGTCCCTGCTCCTTCCAGCCGCTGACTGGTTCGGATGCATGGGGTGACACCAGCGATGCCGTCGACTGTCACGTCAATTAGCTCGGACTCTAAGTACTAAAATAGAGCAGGCACCTAAGGAGAAGTGGCTCTGCAGAGCTGCTGCTGTGCCTGATTTGATTTAGGCTGAAAGGTGACTTAGAACTGCAGGATTGCTGAAAAAAAGTTTAGGCATAATAGAATAAAAACTGAAAAATGTGTTGAAACTGATAGCTCTGCATATGGCAACTTTCCATACAATTAATCTATTTTCTCACCCATCTAGAATTATTATTTATATCTTTGTGGGTGAGGTTTGACATCTTCAAAGAAAAAAATTATTACATTTTGTTTCCCAATCAAGACACAAAAAATTTGACTTTTTCCAAGAAGGCCATTGGAGAACTGTTATTGTGTGACACTAAGTTCAGTCCCACTGTCAAAGAACATTGACACTAAATGATAACAGCTCAAATTATGGTCAGTAAAGCCTTATGGGACACCTAAAATGTGTGAATGGTAGAGTTGAGCCTCTGCAACCTACTGACCTCATGAGCTGGTTGTATTTAGCAAGTCGCTCAGATCTGCAAGGGGCGCCAGTCTTAATCTGCAATAGAGAAAGAAGTTCGGTAAGTTATGGACACACCAAAATAAGGTGTAAATAAAGCTGGATAAGACCAAATTAAACCTTTGGTGAGTCAGAGACGGAGATTTAAATGCACAGATTGAAAAAGCTGCAGTTTATCAAGTCACTGCACAAACCTGTCGATTTATTACTCTGCTTTGAGTTAGCCTAGCAGTGTGTTATTTTGTCAGATTTACACAAATACTTTGTTAGAGCAGAGAAGTCCTCACCTGTCCAGTACAGAGTCCTACCACCAGGTCGGCGATAAAGGTGTCCTCTGTCTCCCCTGAGCGATGGCTGACCATCACTCCCCAGCCATTGGCCTGAGCCAGCTTGCATCTGAAAGGAAGAGCCAATAGTTTACATCACAACCTAATTTTCATGGTAATAAATACTGTGGCATCTCAACATTTGAGCAGGTTGTGCTACTGCGCCCTGCAGCATGTCATTTACTCTCAAAGTAGTGTGCAGGTACTATTCAAACAAGGGAACATCAGGAGTTACTTGGGACATTTTAGTTAAAAAAAAAAAAAAAGAAAGAAACATGTTCTGTTTTGCGATCTTAAAAAGAAGCATGAACTTCTACAAAATAAAAAAGAGAGCTAAGAATAATTTAAGCATTCTTAACATATATTTTACTCCCTCGATATAAATTCTGCAGCATAGGTGCTAAAACCTATAGTGAAACTTTCTTAACTTTCTAAATATAAAGGAATTAAAAATCTGTTGACTTGTATTTCCTTTTCTAAAAGCAAACAAAACAACTCTTATATCAAAAAAGACTAAATCCAGTCTTCTATGTTATCCATGTATTCAATATGAAAATCTCTTAAATGTAAAAGTTTGCACTTGACACACATATATTATTTATATGACCCCTGACTTTAGTGCAATTGTTGTTTCACCGTTGAAATATTTCATTGCCTTCATGTAAAATAGTGAGAAATTCAAAGTCTTCAGCACACAAAATTCATCTTTTCTCTCCCCTCATAACTGCAGTATTGCATATATTACCCTCTTTAATTGGGCGAGTGCATTAATCACATTATGATTCATTTGTAGCCGCAGGTCATCTGACAAGTTAACAACATAAAAATTAAGACGTCCTCTGAAGCTCCAGGCTTCTCAGGATTTCCACTCTGCCAGCTGAGCCATTAAATATATCAGATTAATGATGCAGGGCGATTTTTTTAGGAGATGGAGCCAATACATCACTAATAGTGTCATTGGCTCTGTTTGTCATTTAATCTTCCTCACACCCTCTTCTCTCCTGCTGCTGGACTCAATGATTGATAGTTTCATAAGGCTGAGTGACGTTATGTCAGGCCTCAGATTAATGACACACACAGTCAGAGGAAGAGTGCATGCTACTGTTTGAAGGCGGTTAAAATGAAACAAAGAAAACATCAATCCCACCTTGAGGAATAATTTAAATGAGCAGAAAATAAATGCTTTAATTATGTTTGTGTTTCTGATTTCTCATTATTATCACAAGATTGGCACTGCTGACGGCGACCTGACTAACTGAGTATGTTTGCAGGACTGATTGATGAGACGACACAGAAACCTTTATGACTCAACAAGGACGGAGCCTCCATAAGGTGCTTCTGTTTGTTCCTTTTCATTTCACAGAAGAGTGAGTTCAGGTTGCATGTCTCAAGTCTATTTGCATAAATACTGCATAAAAGTATTCAAATTAAAAGGCAGATCTGGGATCTTTACGATTGCTCTGCAGCAATAAAATGTATATTTATGCTTGACTTTTTACACATTATTACCAACAGACCCACAAATTTGTCCAAATCTGTCTAGTACATTACTTGAAATCTAAATATTGGCTAATTATTGAGTCCTTGAAGCCTTACACAAACTAAAAAGTAACAAATACATACATAACCATGTCCTAATGCAGTGTTTTCCAACCCAGATCCTTAAGACGTAGTCCTGCATGTTTTTGATGTTTCTCTCCTTTTGCACACCTGATTCAGATAACTGCAGTTCAGCAAAAGCCTGCTAATTACCCATCAATTAAACTTGTTTATTTCATTAGAGCAGCTATGACAAGTGCAGCAAACCTGCAAGCATTCAATAAATCAATGGCTAAGAAACATCTGTTTTCATTCTGCACATAAAACAGAGTGTCATGATCTTTAGGTGTTTGGGTTTTGGTTTACATACACAACATGGTTTTATTCAGTTCATTCATGTGTGTTTTTTTTTTTTCTTTTTTGTGTTCTTCTGTCTGTGCATTTCGGCTTGTCCTCGTTTGTTCGTATTAGACTTTTTCCCTTTTGGTTTGTAGGTCCTTCTGTGTCTTGTTCAGCTCTAACTTGGAACAGCTGTTGCCAATCCCCCTGATTAAGCTCACCTGAATCCCATAAATCTCCACCATCACCTCAGTAGATAAGCTGACATGTTTTCATTGTTGGCTCCATCTGTTACATATTGTTGGTCCAGTCTTTGCTTTTATGCCCCCTTTTAAAAGCCGCAATATAAAAACACAAAAGTCTTACGAATTAAATACGGTAAATATTTGTAGATTCTGTTACTTTCCTACGAATTGAAGAAAAAGTTACTCTATGAAGAGATATTTCACCACTCTCCACAAAGAAAAACAACAAGAAAACAGTTAAATAATTTTTAAAAAGCAGACGTACGCCTGTATAGCTTCGGTGACGGAGCCGATCTGGTTGACTTTGAGCAGCAGGCAGTTGCAGGCTCGCTCCTCGGCAGCTTTCTCTATCCTTTTTGGGTTGGTCACAGTCAAGTCGTCTCCAACAACCTGAATCCCCACCTGGGCCGTCAGACGGGACCAGGCCTCCCAGTCATCCTGGTCAAACGGATCCTCGATGGAGACCACTGGGAGGAAACGGGGAGAGATGATTTAGTCTGTAAAGAAAACAAAAAAGGATTTTGTATTTTATTTATCAAACAGAAAGCGCTGCACCTGGGTAATTATTGACAAAGCTTTGGTAGATGTCAGCCAGCTCTTCTCCGCTGATGTGTCGGGATGAATCCGGAGGGGATTTGAAGTCCAGATCGTACTTCCCCTCACGGTAAAACTCAGAGGCAGCCACGTCCATCCCGACTACGACCTTATCGGTGAAGCCTGCTTTCTCAATGGCAGTCTGCAGCAAGTCCAGGGCTGAGAATCGAATGAGACATTATAAAAACATCAAGACACTAATGCTTAAAAGCAGAATGACCTTATTTTCAACTACATTTCCATCCTCACCTTCACTGTTCTCCAGGATGTTTGGAGCAAATCCCCCTTCATCTCCAACGTTAATAGCATCCTGGCCATATTTCTCATGAATCACGCCCTTCAGTGTGTGGTAGAGCTCGGATCCTATCCTCAGGGCCTCCCTGAAAACCAAACCACAGGAACAGGAAGATGAAAACATTCTGATAGACAACAAACCAAAATGGATGACAAAAAGCAAAGCGCATTTCTTACTTGAAAGACTCGGCCCCAACAGGCAGAACCATGAACTCCTGCATGGCAAGTTTGTTTCCTGCATGAGATCCTCCATTTATCACATTAAAGGCCTGACAGGACAAAAGACAAAATGGCTTTTAAAATCAAGTTAAATTAACATTTTAAGTTGAAATACTTTCATCCGACTGTTGTAGACACTGTATAGTGTGATTGAGACCTACAGGAACCGGCAGCACAAGCTCGGTGTTTCCAGCTAAGTCGGCTATGTGGCGGTACAAAGGGACGTCCTTCTCTGCTGCACCGGCTTTACAGATGGCGAGGGATACTCCCAAAATGGCATTGGCTCCAAACTTAGCTGTTTGACAAGCCAGGTGATTGGAAAAGACAGGAGTAAGTATCAAAACGTCTTGCAAAACTTTACTTTTGAAAGAATAACAATGTTAAGTTTACATCTTTCTACTTTTAATACGTCATATATTGTCAGATATTTCAGGCATAAGAACTTTTGCTAATTTATATTTTTAGGCTTTCATGTTGTTTTGACATTGGAACAGATTTTTGTTTTGGGGGAGCACAAAAGGTTTTATTTTTTAAAAATATGGCACAAAATGGAATATTTAGTATTGAGGATGTGAGTTAGCAGTTTAGATTAACAGCTGCTAACGGTTAAGTCAGCTACTAATGAGAAAATTAATTTTTATTTGTTATTATGTGTCTTTTATTATACAACTGTTCTGTAGAAGTTGACAAAACAAGGCTTGGGATTTAAACGTGAATTTTTTCTGAATAAAATTGATTTGGTTTAAAGTTTAAAAACTGAAAGTTAATGTCTATTCGCTGTTTCTATGAATCGTAACTGACTAACAAGACAATGGTGCCTGAATTTATATTTTAAAAAGCATAAATATGTTTGCTTACATTTTTGTAACTTAGGATATAATAAAGGCAAAGTAATCAGAAATATAATTATTTATCCGGTAAAGTTAGCTTTTGGTATTTATTGCTATCGTAGAACTTAAATAAGCTAAATCCTTCTCTGTCATTCTCTGCCAATTATTTCCCACTGATTAATTTTGTCAGGTTTATTGTACCTACTAATATTAATTTTTTCCTACAGCCCATTTTCATGGCTGTTGGCTGTGCTTCCAGAAATGATTACTTGTCCTGTTAGGAAGATGAAATTAATCCAGAGTGCATTTATTCATCAAACATGTGAGTTGGTGTTCTCCGAGCCAAAGCAATCTATTCTGTCTTGTTGCCGTCTGTATTTATGCAGCTTATTGCTCTGCAAAGGACTCTGTGACAAATGAGCCTTTGGTGCAAACAGTTTTTAAAATATGTGCGAGCTGCTGAACATGAGAGAGTTCCAGCTGGCTGGTACAAGCTGATGGTGTGGTATAAGTCATCCTGTCGTGTTTTGACTCACATTTGTTTTCTGTGCCATCCATTTCAATCATCGTGTTGTCCAACTGCTCCTGCTCCACCACACTGATGCCCTGCAGACAGCAAAGGAAACTTTGTCAACAAAACTGCATCTCAAAGTTATAGACTTTACAAGCCACTCCCTCTGCACAGTTGTTGCTTAAATTAGTTCAATTTTTTTTTAGGTAATTCAGAACTTTATGTGGGATTTAAACCGAAACCACTTTAATCTGTTAAAAATCACCTATTTGTTTTTTGTTTTTTGTTTTTTTATTACTTTTTATTCTTAACTTGGCTGAATTGTTAAACTTTTGACTTGTTTGTACTTTTCCCATATTGTAAATAATTCCAATACTGGACTGCATCCAAATGTGCATGAATTTGATATGTTTGTGTTTTGGCAAAAAATTGGAAGTAGTATTACGTTTTTAAGTTAATGCTATGTAAATGCATTAAATTTACTTCACTTAGTAATGAAGCAGGTTAAGAGCCTAAAACTTTGTAAGAATGAGGAAATAGAACAAGTTTTTATGTGAAGGAAATTATTCATTTTGCATTACTTCTGGTATCAAAAATGTACCGAAATCACAATTCCTCTAACTCTAATGATATCATTATCTTCAATTTTGCAGCACAGTTGCCATTCTTTACTGTCACTGTTCTCCATTCTTACTCTCTTCACTCAGTTCATCCAGTTGTCTCCAATGTAAGACCCATACATTTTCAATCATTACCTCCTCAAAAGTTTAAATGTTCTTCAAAGAGGAAATTATTACATTTCCAAAAACTATCTTTGACATACCCATAATTTCTAAGAAATGTGTCAGTTGCCTTCACATTGGATCATATGTTTCTACATTTGAACCTTGAGAGCTTTAGGTTCGCTGTGAATGAATATTATTTCTACTGAGTATAAAAATGTTTTGATGGCTTACAGAGGCTATGAGGGCTGGCGCCAGAGTATCATTGATGTGTCCAACTGCCTTCAAAACACCTACAGCACAAAATGGAGAAAAAAAGATTTTTACAGAATAATAATAAGGGAAAATCAAGAAATTAATGTTGGGATAAATAAAGTGGAACACAGACTCTTCACATCAGTTTAAAGCCAATTTTTGTGAGGAACCCAAAGCAGAAGAATCTTGAAATTATCTTGCTCAGTCAAACACAAAACAACGATTTTCTGAAGACAATTCAAACTGAAAAAGTGTCGTTTTGTTTGTTTGTTTTTTGTTGGTTTTTTTATATGATATGGACAAATACTACTTTTTATTTTCTAGTAAAGTCACTAGAACTAAATTTTTTAAATGATTGGAGACTTTATGGAGACTGTGGAAAGACAAAAGAAATGCATTTATAAAACTTCAATTAAAGAGTAGAATTAATTAAGCAATAATTTTCATTGTATGAAAGAAAATAACTTTGACTAAAACAATTATCACAATGCTCTATTTACATTAACATTAAATGCTAATATAGTTTTCTTCCAATGATGTAAAAACACAGAATTCAAAATTCCAACACATATGAGATACAAGGTCTCTGCTGAAGCTTTACGAATTTCTTAAATCTGAATGTTGAATTACTTTATGCAGCTCTAAGTTTTTGTTGACAGTAATTAAATATAGATGCCCAGCTGATTTGTCTTGTTACCTTTTCCCTTGAAACGGCTTTTATCGCCATCTCGGAGCTCCAGAGCCTCGTAGATCCCTGTGGAAGCCCCACTGGGCACTGCAGCCCTGAATAGACCTGAGAAACAGATGAAAAAATGCCTTTAAAATGATTAAATGTTATGGAAAATGCTCAAATCAATAGGCATATCAGACAGAAAATAAATATTCGGTACAGCCTCTCCTCTGAATACCCATAATCTTGAGAATGTCCTTGTATCTTTTCCCAAACTTCAAGCATTTATTGATATTTTATTTTAGTCACTTTGTCATAGTTGAATTGATTATGCTGTTGGCAACTAAATCAGATACATTATTTTCATTTTGTTTCTCAAAGTCAAAGAACCTTTTTCTGTGCGAAGATCCACTTCCACAGTGGGGTTTCCCCTGGAGTCCAGGATCTCCCTGGCAACGATGCTGACGATCGACATCCTGAGGGTCAAACAGAGCAAAAGAGACTGACTGGCGTTATCAGTCATAAACGGACTGTAACTCAAGGCAGTAAAAATTATTTCAAATGAATGCAAACAAGTAAAAACTGCAGCTGTAAAAGAAAGTTGTGGCATTTTGACCACATGCATGAGGCAGATCAGATACTGAAACATTAGTGTGATAAATCAAGAAAGACTGATCTTCTTTGTCAAGCTATGTTTTGAAGTTTGAGTAGAATTATCTATGTATTTATTTATTTAATATTTTGTTTCTGTAATAAGTCAACGGATTTGTTTTGTGTGTTGTTTGGGAAATGTAACAGATTACGACCATATGAATTTACAGCTTGCAGTTTTTTATTTAAAAGCAAATGAATTTGGTACATGAACTGAATGTCTGTGAGAATTCAATATAGCAATGTTCTACATTGAATCAATAATACATTTAACAGTAATTACAGTTAAAAATATGCATCATAAAAGCATCTAAATTGTTTTTAGTGATACGTTATCCTTATAATGGTCTGCATAATTTCAAGAAACACAGAACACGGCATACAGTATCTTTACGTTTATGCTGAACCTGTTTACTTCTTCAGCTTTTTGCATCCCAGGAGAGAGATCTTGGAAACTCTTGCAGCACAAATGCATTCTAGATGCATCATGTGGTGCCAGTCTACACCCTTGGAAAAACAGCTCAGCCACTAGAGCTTTCATCTAAATAGGTCACAGCATCAGTGCACATCTCTCTCAAAAATCCAACAAAATCTTCATGCAAGACTTGCAATATAGTGCAATGCAATACAATTTAAAGCCAGACCATTCATCAGTGTTTGCTGTTTATGCATATTTTATCCAAGACTTTTCTTGATTTAGATCTTTAATGCACTTAGCCAGTTCTGTTTGCAGCAGAAAAGGTTTATTTTTAGCAACGTGACAACAGAGCTCAGCATAGTAAATGAAAAAGATTTTACTGTAAATATTTTTCAGAAGAGAAGATAGTTTAAAAAATAGAAAGAAAAAGAAATCAAAGGACAAAACTTGATGTTAGCTAGCTAATGTAGCTTTCTTGGAGCGACAGGACAATGACAGAAAGTTGTGTCATTGAGTAGAATCCAAGATGGCTGTCTTGGATTGCACAAACTAGAGCAAGTTGCAGAAAACAGTGCAAGAAAAATTGTACAATCTACTTGTGCACATGTTGTTCTACCATTTGAATCCTTAAAATGAAGATAAATATTTCCCTATTGGCTCTGTTAGGAGCCAAAAGGGTGCCCTTCTAGGGTGCGACAGCATTACTAGATCAGAGCGCTAACTTCTGAGTCAAATCGAACATAACAGTTTTTTTTTTTTTTTTCTGTTGAGAGATGAGAGAGAACACTTGAGAAAATTGAAGAAGTTAGATTGACCTCCTAGCTGGCCTTTTCTTTCTCTGCTTTCGTCCAGAATCACTTCTTGTCACTTTACCTACAATTCTAACATTCACTTTAAAGTATAACATGAAAGGAGCAGCTTCTGTGTGACAGACTGAACTGCCTTACATATCAGGATTAAAAATGCATTAATTCTCTTTGATGATGCTTTTTAATTTTTTTGTACTGCCATGAAATTCTTAGCCTACAAAAACCTGCTATATTAATGGAACCTGTACCTTCAATGCCATTTCTCTTTGATTATCTGTGCTCTCCTCCGTGGGTGTTTGCCCATTGATATTCCAAACACGTAGAACTGTAACTGCGGCAATATGTCAAAAAAGTCCTTTTATGCTGCTCTTGTCCCTCTTTGCTGTATGAATACTTTATCGATCTGTGAGCTAAATTTGGCTGGTAGCTTGCAGAAGCCTGGCACCGAAGCTGTACTTTTCAATTGCACCGACAGAAAGATGGAGAATCAAAAACATGGTCCAATCCTTTTCTCTTTTCACTCATACGTCTTCTCATTTTGGCCAAACAATCAAATATTTGACCATAAAATATTCCTGACACTTTCCATGTGGTCAACTAAATATTTAAGTTTATCCTAAAAGTGTCCATTTGCTGGCTTGGGTTCTCTCTGGACATACTAGCTAATTTCCTTTCATCAAAATAAGTTTGGATCAAATGGCAGAAACTTGGACACGATGTAATGAGATGCAATTTTTTCATAACTGACAATTAAAAGCAAACTCCCGACCTTAACTCTTCAAATAGGACAAATATATGCTCAAAATAAACTCTAATTTGGTTCACATTATTAATATCTTAATGTAGCAATACGGAATCTTGCTTTAGTTTTCTTTAATCTTTTATGACTCAATATACTTTTATTTTTATGATCAAATAGGCAATTTTTAGAATACTTTTTGGATCACCTGAAAAATATTAAAGCATTTTTTTTAACTTGTACATTTTTGCATGAGCCAAATCTAGAATTTATGTTTTGAAGCACATTGTTATTTTCCTTAATCAGCTTAAATTCAAGCAAAAACTTCCTGATAATATTAAACTCTATTTAATGTGATTGTATTGCTCATTCCTACTTATTTCACATATAAAACCTTTCTCTGGTAACATTAATTTGTTCACCCTAACAAAGTGCCTCTTGCCCTCTCAACTATCCACTTTATTGAAGTCTTTAAAGCACTTAAATAAATTTAACTCCAGTTTTAAAATCTCTTCTAAAGCTTTCTGCTGACGGTTAAGTGCAGTCATGACAGCCTAAAAATTCTTTCTCATTCACCTACTGTAAGTCACAGCGCTTGAACAGGTCAGGGAAATGAGTGAAAAGTGTAAATGGTGCTCAGCTGAAGAAAAAGGCAGAGAAGGTGCCTTCAGAATCCGCTTGGTCAGGAGTGAAAGTAATTGATGTGTGGGTGGATTTTCTCTACAGGCAATCATTAATTTTATGGATACTGGTTCTCTGTTCGTTTTCGGTGATCCTCTGAGGCCCCACCCTGCCGTATTGCAGAGTCTTCCCAAACAGTTCCACCTAAGGGTGGAGCAGCACTGCATGAGATATCAACAAAGAGACTTTGCATTTCCTAATAAATGATCTGCTTGATTAATAACTTTCAGATGGCGATAAACACCAAAAAAACCAAAGGCTCAGCTGAACAACTTTCATATATTTAAATTGTGCAGAAATTGCTCATAAGTGTGTTTTCATCTTGTTTACTTACATTTATTACCTCTTCTTTTGCATGCAATTTAAGTATAACATGCATCTAAATGAAGTTTAAACTCTACGCTCTGAAGAATGCATAATTCCACTGGTACTGAGTCAGTCATGCATGCATTAACATCTCTGGCATCCTGCTGCAATTTGCACCATCTAATATACATGAACACATGTTCTCTCCTCCTAATCTGTCATAATTCTCAATGAGGTTATTGCCTAATCAATCTTATCTCAGTCTTTTTTCCATCCTTCTTTCTTTCTCCTTTTTTTCCACATCCCCCCTGTGTCTCTCACTCTTTGCTGTTTGTACACGTTGCTGTGTGTTACGTAAGCTCTACAGCAGCAGCAGCAGCAGCAGAGAGGGAGGGAGGACACTCACGAACGCATCAAACCACACCTAACAGAGACTGCAGTGCTCAGCAGAAAAGATACCAGCACTGATCGGATGGAGAAAAAAACTCCATGTAGCCCAACACAAGTGGGTGAAGCAGGGATGGAGTGATACGGAGGTGATTAGTTCAAATAAATAAGGGGAGGATAGGAATAGCAACAATATCTATCTGCAAGGAAGACTTAGTAAAAGAGGCAAAGATATTGTAGACGTGGTTAAAATAATACTACTAGTATCAAGTACAACAACAATAAAAAGAACAATGTAATTATGTTTCAATTGACAGCAAAGATGCAGGTAGTTCACACCAAACTCTGACCCCACCTCCTGAATTTCACTGTAAAAACAAAGATTTAAGATCTTCTTTTGATCTGTTACAGTCTGGTGTTTGCTTAAGCCTCTGTTTCAGACATCAGTCACCTCTGATGTCTGCAAGATATTTTTCGGCACACAAGTGCCACAAATAAGAGATTTCTTAATTTGTTTGACCAACTTTTTGAACCCCAAAGATGGTTTGGATTAAATCAGATTTTGACATAAGACTAAGATCCAATCTTGCAGTACAATCCAATCTGAACTGTATAACAGTACAGTCAAATTAGGTTGCTCATGTAATGTTGATACATAAAGGTACATCTAACGAAGCCCAGCCAATTGCATCAAGTGACCAACTTTGCAGCAATTGCTTGTTACCTCCGAGCAAGCAAGTGGCGACAACTCCGTTTTATTAACATTAAACAACCTCTAGACAAACCAGGCTCAGTACTGTGTGAGCATTCACCTGACATGAGCAACTGGCTGTTGAAATGATGAATGTGCTCAAGGATATTAATTAAATAATCATAATTTGTTAGATTTTACCAAATCTGTATCATAAGATGGTTTATTTTTTTGGTTCATTTCTAATAGAGTAATAATCTCCATTCATCTTTTTCCAAACATCTTTTATTTCACTTTAAAAGATAAAGTATTGTGCAGTATTGTTAAAAGCCAGCAAAGAAAATGATTGGGTATTTTGCTATGTATTTAAAAAGAGCGACAGGGTTCAGACATCTCAGCCCCACAGCTATTCAATTTATTCAAGTCTTTTAAGATGTTCAGATTAACAGCTGGTTAATATTAACTGGAACAATTTAATAAAGAGTAATGCAATAAAACACAAGTGGAGAATGCATGAAGACCATTTGATCAAATAAAACAAACGCAAAGCTGTGCTGAATTCTTGATTGGTTCACATTTTATTACATCACTTCCTACTTAAATGTTTTATGTTTTGTGGTTTCTTCCAGAAAAAATGCAGAACATCTAGCTTTTCAATTCAAAATAGTAATTAATCAATGTTGTACTTGTCAAGACCAGGAGCATGTGGGAAATGAGACAGCTAAAATAAAAAATTTGGATGCAGGGGATTAAAAAAATCAGCAGGAAATGAGTGCTGAAACATGGCTTTGTCAAAACGAAAGGAAGAGTTTCCCTGGGAATGGGAATGGCCAGCAGGAAGGAGAGAGGGAGGGAGGGAATGACGAAGGACAAAATAGAGAGGAAGAGGAAATGAGCCAGAGTGAGGCAGAAATGGAAGGATCACAAGAAGAACAAAGACATGGATAAATAATTAAATGACCATATATGGCTGGAGAAGAGTGGAGAGATGGAGGAATGTAGAGAGGGAGAGGAGAAGAAAATGGGCAACAGAACTGTGGCATATGGCACATGAACACACATGCACAAACACACAACTATGTACGTATATATATTGACATAAATAGATGTAAGGGGTTTTATTTATACTACTAAATACTATAATTAGTACTATTTCTATATCTGACTGTCACAAATGAAGATAAACATGAAGACTGGCTAAGGAAAATAATCATCTGTATTCATCGTTTTAAGACTTATTATGGTCACCAGAATGTCACTAATGATTCAATTAAACAATTTTTAACATGATTATTGTCCTAGCTGAGTAAATTAACATTAATCATAGGTTCTACTTTCTTACATGATTTCTACTTGATAAAATCTAAATTTAGAATATATTTTCTGTTCATTATTACTATTTAATGAAGCGGTTTTACACAGGCTGTGTTTTCCAGATGTGTCAATAACTATGAACAGGTCTCTACCTGCTTTTTACAAAACAGTTCGGTCATCAGCAGAAGGTAAAAATATAAATTTCTCAAACCCGATGCCAGTAATGCTTGTTTTCATCCAACAAATTTATGTCACTAAGGACTAATTTGTTGAAATAAAAAAAAACAGATGGTGCATCTCTGCAACCAGCTGCGATTTAGCTGTGGTAGAGAAGAGGCAAAGCCCAAATCATATCAGTAAACTAACTGCAGTCATGTGGAAATAACATAGAAGAACCAGAGAAACATGATAAAAATCTACAATTTTTCATGCTACATGACTGAAGAAACAGTTGTTTACTACGGTTAGCTATAATAGAGCTAAACTTTCCAGATGTCATCCAGATCAGTGTGCATTAGCTAAGCATTTTCAAAATGGTTTGTTTATTGAACAGCAGGCCATAATTTTGATGTATAACATTAGAAAAATGTACTGAACCCACAGACCATTGTTGACATAGTTTATATGTCTGACTGCCTTGAAAACAAGATCACACATTTTACTAGCTCCCAAGCTGGATCAAAGTAAAGGAATAGTTCACTGTTTTTTAAAACATCTGATCATGTCTGCTCAGATCTATAATCTACACAATGACCAAACTTGAAGAACAGATATTTCTGCACCAACCTGTGCTGATGTTTTCCCCCTTCTGATTACTGATGCTTTAAAATACGGTTTTGACTGAAACACTTTTCTGCATTTGTGAAATAAAAAATCAAATACATGCAGAGTCATATTTTTCTCAAACATATTCCTAGAGTCCATATCTACATACTTTACAGGTAAAGTTACCAGATTCCCTATGATTCTGCTTTTTAAATTGTACTCTCAAAGGTAATATTAGTAAAACTAGTAGTACTTAAAATATTGTGTTATTTATTAAAATATAAAGCTATAAAAACAAACATAACCCAGTGTGAAAAAGATTCAAGTGTTTATAAGTAGCAACAAGGTTTTTTTCTTCTACTCTTCTTTTTAGCCACATAGGAGGATCTTAAAGGTATTGAATCCACAGCAAATTTACTGAGCTTTGACTAGGTCACTCAAAAATCTTAATTTTAATTAATATAGAGAAATTTTCCTTCAAGATTTTCTGCTCAAGAGCAACATTTATCATTAAATGGGCCCACTAGTGTTTCTCTAGCATTTAGTGTATATGTCTAGACATATTTTTCCTTATCACACTAAAAATATCGCAAGTTCACATTATAACCATCTAATGTTAATTTGTCTTTATGGGTTTGGCTACCTTTTCCAAAATCAGGCATGTTGTCATAAACATATTGACCAAGTAACTTTTGGTAGCTTTTCCTGAATCTATTGATGATCTTTAGGAAGTGTTTCAATACAACCAAGCATATTTCTCTGAGACTCAGACATGCCTATACTCTCATGTATTCCTGCCCCATCTTCAAACACAATTAGAAACCAGAGACCTGGGCATTATTGACTGCAGGATCCCATCTCATTCACACACACACACTGCAGGCAAGAATCACATGAGCAAACACCAGCCATTTTCCAAAAAGTCAGAGGATATTCAGGTCAGTCTTCCTGTGAGCTACATTACCACCTTCTAACACACACATACACACATGAATGCGTTAGTCCTCACACACTTTATTTCTGCTGCCACAACACTCATAAACAAATCATCCCTCTTCAACCACAAGGACACACATTAACACCAAAAAACTGCATACCACATAAACACACATACACACATTTCTGTGCGGCTTACATGAAAAGAGAACATCTGAACACACACTTGACAGCAAAATACATAGTAGCGCAAAAATGCACACACACTTATTGTTTTCTTCTACCTTTCTCTCCTATCAGACACATTCAAGCATACTGAGAGCTCAAACTGACACACAGACACACACTGTGCACATACGTGGAGGCTCACACATGTACACTCTCATGTCTCTCTCTGCACCCACAAAATTCACTTGACAGCCATTTTCCAAACATGCATGAAGCTGCAACACACACACAGACACGCAGTGACACCTCAAATATCTCACAACACACACACACGCATGCATTTCTTTGAATTATGTCTGCTTTACGCAGCATGAAGCCCACATCAAAACTAAAAAGGAATAAATAGCGATGGAGAATGACAAAACCCAATAGAGCAGAGGATGAGAAAAAAAAACAGCGAAAATCCTGCCTTTACCTGCCACCCGTGAGTGTGTGAGTGTGTGTGTGTGTTCTGCCTTGCACGGCAATGGAGAAAATACTGGAGAGGCTGAGCGATGAGAGAGAGAGAGAGAGAGAGAGAGGAGGAAAACAGGAGGGGAGGAGGAGGGGGTGAGATGTGTGACAGAGGGGGGGGAGGGGAGATGACTCAGAAGGGAGATGGAGAGAAGAAGATGAGTGTTAATTAAAAAAGGAGAAGATGGACCAAGGGTTTGGATGAAAGGATAAGGACAGGGTGCAGAGGCTCGATGTCCGACAGTGGTGGTAAAAATAGATGATGGGTGGACAGCTTCTTGTCTCCCAGTGTCTCAGTGTCTTTCTCTACTGCTGTAGTGGGGTTCAGTCTCTATGCATGCGGTTATATAATCCATCTTCTCCACCATGCTCAGACATGATGATCCTCTGTATGAATACGTTTCTGCTGCCCTGAGAATGAATTAGAGAAATTTTACTTCCTATTGTGAAGGTGAAGGTCAGAGTAAAGGTTGATTTTTCAGTGTCGCTGCATCAACTCCAAAATCATAAAAAACAACATCTCCTCTCCTTGTGTTGGTGGATGCGCAGCTGCAACCTTTTATTTATAAAACTAACCCATTTTTCATCCAGGTGGTCATAGTGTGAGAGCTCAAAAATATGGGAGAAACAAGATGCAAATATGCAAATTTTTTATCATTGTGATTTTAAGAGTGAATATATATGTCTTCCTCTTCTGGAATAAAATAATAAATACAGTTATTTTCATCACTGTATGGTTTTATTAAGCCATCCAGAAGTCTTACTTTGCGTTTCTCATAATTAGGTGAATGCTTCACAGTAATTTAATGTTTCTTTTGCAAAAAATATAATCCAGAACCCACTTTCAGTACTTTGCGTCTCTAAACTTAAATAACAGGTGGAAGGCTTGAACTACTGCATGCTAGATACAGCTACAATGCATATATTTACAAGTTATAAGTCTATGCAAAAAATAACATGTTTATTCATCTTTTAGTATTTGTTTTCATTCCTTTTTGATTATGAACCCAGAATAATCTCTAAGCTCATCTGAGAACATCCCAGGAAAAATACCTTCTTTCACTTTCATGCAACGCCGGCTTTCAAAGCCAGCCCAATGCGTTAGCAAACATAGCTCCTCCTAAAAATAAACTTCAGGCCAGATGGCAGCCTCCAGAAGTTGTGGACTCTATAAGGAATGTCTCAGTATTTAAATATGACTGAACTGTTTATGGATTTCAAACTTGAAATTGTTTAGAATAATAAAATGTAATATATATGGAAAGAACTGATCCGCATACACAGCTGCATACATATGAAACTCTGCACCAGACTTTTGGGAAGACCTTCATTTTGATGTGACACTGAGCTAAAATGACTGCCAGGCGACAAAACTCTGCATTACAAAAAACTGTTTATTAGTCAATAAATACCTAAACCTAACCCTACCCTATGTCAATAAAAGTCAAATAATGATCCCTAAAGTGCATTTGTGTTTGTTTCTTTGTTAGAAAGACTGCATCTTGGTAATAATTTAGAAATACTTTGCTTCAGACAGTGAAGTCTCAGTTATCGTCACTGTTGGACAAAAACTTTGTTTCTTCATTTAGTCAGTTTTGTTGTCTTGTGAAAATCAACTGTATCACTCTTCACATCTTTCTGTGGTTTCATTAACACATTTAACATGAAAAATATCAAAAAGAGCAGCTGGCTCTCAAATGGTATGAATGCTCATTTCACTTCCACTCACTCTTCACTTTATTAGAAACACTTTACTAATATCTAGGTTGTTGTGTTGTTCTCTGAACTGTTTCATGTAGGATAGATTCAACATGTGGCAGAGATTCCTCAGATTTTGGCTCATATTGACACTAACAGAGCACAACAGCCACAGATTTAGATCTGATCAGATCACTGAGGAGAATCTTCTTTTGTACTGAGATCTAGCAGCTGCCCAAGCTGGGCTAGGGTTAGGTCCTTTGACATTTGACTTCTATAAATACTTTTTGTACATAGGTCACTGAATATATTCTCTTTTTAGGACTATTCTCTAATAAAGTAGAAGAATATTCAGACCAGATCATCTGACAGAAGCAAACATATCATGTTAAAACTCTTTTAAATTGTCCTAACTCCTCATTTTGAACTTCAGTAAAGTATCTCCACCATGTCTAAAAACAATGAGATGTTTTTATTGCAACAAGCAGCTGTACAGGTCTACCCAATGAACTGGCCTGATTATGTTTAATTCCTGTGAGATCATAAGTGGAAATTAAATGTATTTATTGCCATATTTGCAGCTCATGTCACAATTACAACAATTGTTTGGTTATTTTGCAAAAATGTCTTTAAATTTACAGCAGTAACTTTAATTTAAAGTACAGAAATTTAAAATTATTTGTTTGCTACAGCTAATGTGTCCTTGCTGTTCTAAAAACAGACTGGTGAAGTTGTTAATGCTGACTGCAGGGTGATACTGATACACAATGACAGAGCAAAAGGGTGAAACCAGTATGTTCTTGGTGTGTATGGATGGGTTTATCTCCTAACTGTATGCCTTTTTGTTCACCTGTGTATTTTTGTGACAATGCAAGTGTGTAAGTGTGCCAATCGTGGTACGTTCTTATGTGTAGGCATACATGCGTGTGAGTGTGCAAGAGTGTGAGATAATCTGTAATTAAATTCCTGAGTTTAATGGGATTATCTAAGGGAGACAATCAGCACTGTGTCCTTGACATCCATCCCCTGGTTAGCCACAGCCAAGCAGCTGACAGACACACACACAGATATTTGGGGGGAAAGAGAAAGAAACAGAGAGAGGAAATAAGATAAAGTAGGAAGAAGCAACAAAGTAAAAAAAAAAAAAGATCAAATTACTAGAGATCAAAAGAGCACAATGAAAACCTTGTGAAGATATGAGAACAAAGGCCTTCCAGGGTGAGGGTAATAAACAAGTGACTTGCATTGTAATTATCTCATTTTCTGTTGCGTTACACCGAAGGTCGACTGGCCTTCCTCTCAGCAAGGTTCCCCTCCACCTACAGCACAAACTGACAACCAGGTCAACCAACACAAATGAACAAAAGAATTAGGTTACTTTGACAATATTTCACACATCATGGCTATTTTCTAATCTGGAAGATTGTTTTATTCATGGTTATTTGTTGTTTTCCCAATCCTGTTAGTAGTTTTCACATATATCTATATTTCAGGTCATTTTCATGTATAGACAGGCGCCTCCTTTGAATACCTCAGATTCTCGTCTTTTTGTCTTTCAGATTATTTGGTTCTTTTGAAATATTTAGACAAAGACCTTCAGCCAGCATCTAGAGGAGCAGTTCACAGATTCAGCTCCTTTATCGTCCTGACTACAATAAAAAAATAAATATTGTCTAATCGTTCTTTTTTTTAAAAAAAAATTCCCAATTGTTTGGAATGCAATGTGAAATTTTTTTTGTGTGAAAATTATATGTTTTATTTTTGATGCATCCATTCCAGTGGACAATGGAATGTCATGCAATTGAAACTATATTTTGAAGCTGAACATTAAATTCTAAGGGAAAATACCAAACAGTTAATGAAACTTTTAAATCACTGCTTATACTGTTTGCAAACTCAAAAAAGTAAACAGGAGCACTTTGAATGAAACTCTAATCCCTATTTTGTGCATTTATACTGGGGTACTGTGCAGCTGCAGGACTTTTCCATTTTACTTTTTTACTGTCACATAGTTGTTATGATAAGTAATTGTGGCAATTATTATTGTTTTTACACCTAAGAGCAACCAATTATTTCAAAAGCTCAAATAATACCTGAGTTATGACTCCATCGCCCAGAGGAGTTGAAAATGAAGCTTCATGGATGAAGAGCAGAACCAAAGTGCAGAGAGCAAAGAACATTCAAACCAGCTCATCCATTGATCATAACGGGTAAGATAGCCCATATATCCTCTTCCAAATCCCAACATCTCACTGCCTGGCTTTCTAAACACACAGGCAGACAGAGACTTAAAGAGGTGTGGCAAAAGCAAAGGAGGTGGATTCTGAGTGCTTGCCAACAATTGATGGTTTCATGAAGGAAATGCTACTCTAGAATATTATTTCTGCTGCCTGGAAATTGAGCTGTTTCAGTCATGAGATTCATATTGTGACAGTCTGCTGTCAGAGGCCTTTTCAGATTCACGGCAAAACTGACTGCTACTGGATGTCCTTCTTGCCCATAGACATCACCATTCACTATGACTCTGTAGTTATGGTTGATTTGAGTTAAAACATTTAATGTACCTTTGAGATAAATTGACAGTTTTTGAACTGAACTTTAGTTGAATTGATTTTTATTCCATATGGGCTTTGAATGCTTTTAGATTCATGAGAATTGGAGAATGAGACTATAGAGGAAGATATCTGTGTTTCCCTCCTGGTTCCGTTACCCTCTTGTTAAGTCACAATAACTGAAAACATGAAATTAATATTCATCAATTATGCAACTCAACAACATACATAACTCAGAATGTTCACATAAATTAAATTTCAGTTGCCTATCTTCCTGTAAGGCCAGTAATACATGTTATCTTAGAATTTGACACTATTGTGGATCGTATTTTTGAAACACTATAATTGTGAACATTCTTTGTGTTTTAGATATCATTTTATTGCCACTCTGTTATAACTTTATATTGCATTTCTCAAGTAAAAAACTGCAAAAGACAAACCACAGACTTGGAACAAATACAGTTTGACCTTTATCGCCCTCTATTGGTCAAAGAGGAAATATTCGCTCTCTCAATATGTGCTCAGTACTTATTGTTAGTATTAATAATTTTTGTTTGATATATGTATGTGATAAAATGCTGCTTTTCAGGGACTACTTCTTAAAAATAACAAAAACGTAAATTATTTATACGTTTGTAAAAAAAGAAAGAAAGAAAAAAAGGTGTTCTTGTAATCTGTTTTTTTATTATGTTAAATTATTACTTTTTGAATTTTCTTTAAAATATTTACTTTAATAAAATTAAAACTAAAGCATACAGTATAACTGTTGTGAACGTAGTCAGAAAAATTCCACACACAATCCAGTTCATTTGTCCGACTTCCCGAACAGGAGGAAGTGGGATTTCCAGGAAGGAATTGAACGCACCACACCAGTCGGAACACTCCAGCGGTGGTGAACGGACAAGGTAAGAACTGACAGCTTAAAAGCCTGTAGCTTTGTGACTTCAAATGAAGAAGTATAGTCAAGGAAACAACAACGGCTTTTAGTGTAACTTCTTCTACTGTAATAATTGTACCGGCTAGTCGGTTGAAAACTAATTCTGCTAACCCGCAGCTGTCAAAACAATCTACTTCCTTTGGCTAACTTTATGCTAGCAGCGCTGTTAAATCTCTGCTCAGTTAACGAACAAGTAAACCAGCGCTGTTGCTGGTGAGATGAGTCGTCTTTATACTTATATGTTTAGTTTTAGATATTTCCCCCTTCTCGACTTTTATGTTCTTCCCATTTTATTTTTTCTTTTTTCTTTTTTTTATTTTCAACGGACAATATTGATTGTGGGCGTGGGGGTTGGTTTACGTCAGTTTAGCTAACTTTAAAAATCAACACCCTGTTAAATATTAGTTTCGTTTTAAAGCTACCGTCAGCAATCATTAACATCACGCTTTTAGATCTGGTTTTATTTCTAAAAGTAACATGGTGGCTGTTGAGCCGACTCTGATTGTTCATCTATTCTTTCGATGCGGAAGTGACTAAGAAGAAGAAACTCTCAACTAAAAATCTTAATCATTTAAAGGTATAAACACATTTAAGCATGTTTTAAATGTATACTAGAACGATCTGACATTGTGTTTAACTTCTTTCTTACGTTTTGTGTTAGAAATAAGAATTAATTCATTAACTTGTTTAGTTGTTTGTTGTATATAAAATGAAAGTGTTTCGCCGTTTTGTTATACTGAAAACCAGTATTTCAGTCCATCATCTGTAGTTCCTGGCATATTGACAAGCTAAATCAAAATTAAACTATTACTTTACAGTTTGATAAATAAAGGCATGGCCATGTCTTTGCTTGCTTGTTATCACAGATTTCATTGGTAATTAACCACTGTTAAGAGAACTGTAAATTCATTCATTAGACCAGTCAGGCAGTTTCTGGCCAATACAGATGTCTGGGTTTCTTTGCCTTGTTGTTTCCAGTTTGGTTCAGTTTCTTTTTTTTTTCCCTAAGCATTATAAAATATAAGACTGATGAAGGTAGTATTTTTTTATTATCATAAACCAAAAATTAAAACATTACTAGATTATCGTTATAGATCTCTCAAAACATATTTGTCTAACTTTTTATAGTGTTTTTTTTTTGTTTTGTTTTCTTTACTAAGCTCAAAAAAAACACAAAAAATACTCGTATTTGTTATTTTTATGCATTTAATAAATGTTTGACTTGCCTATGACAAATCAGAGCCAACAAAAAGGAAATCTGATTTCTGGCTGATTGGTTGGTGCGTTTTTATAGCATAACAAGCACAATTAGCAAAGGAAGGTATGTTATTTTTCATAAAAATGGGTTATATTAAGTTATATTTTAAAAAGATTTAAATATTGTGTTGGATCTTTACATTTTTTCAAATTACATTTTGTCAGGAGAAATTCACTTGGTTAAACATCTTAAGCTCGGCATGTCATTTTGTTGCGTAAATGTGTGACGATTCTCACATGCCTTGACATGCGGAAGTGTGTTCTACTCTTCCTTCTCAAATAAATATGAAATTTAATACAAATAGAACATTGAGTGCATCTAAAGCTGTAGGATTATTTCTCTGCTATTCAGAGACTTTCTTTGTGATCTGGTGGAACCTGTGATGCTTTAGATTTGTAACTTTTTATATGCTTTTGGAACCCATTTTTAAGATGTTAAACAATTTCAGAATGACTTATTCTGATCCTGAAAAAAAAAAAAAAAAAACTTATCATTTGTTGAATATTTTAAGGCTGATGGCCAAACAGGACCAACTTGATATCCCTGACAACAGTGTGTGCAAGAAGCAGAAGTGAATTGAAGGATCATGCTTGCCAATAATTGTTCAGAATTGTTTTCATGTGAATACAAATTACCTCTGAAGAATGTTTTTCTGACATAACTGGTGTCATCATTCCTGCAGCCAGTTACCGTGTGTCCCTGACTCATCAGGGCTTAGCTGAATGCTGCGTACTGCCAAAATGACCCAAACAAAGAGCCAGTGATGGAGTGGCAGCCCATAGCCCTGTGCCATTGTCCCACCTAATGAACCAGCAGCTTGGGTATGCTAGCTGCTTGGTGTCTGGGTGGTCACAGGTTCTGCCTTCATTGTGTTGTAAACACTGCTGTACAGCGCGGCCACTGTTTCTACTTGTCTCGTAGTCAGTTCCTGCGCCTGGCATTCCTGTCAGGCATACAGATTCTATAGCTCATGATTGTTATCTTATGGAGAAGAAGAAGCAGAAGGGCAGGATTTTTTTCTTCAATTAGTTTAGTTGGGCATGTTCATTATGAAGATTACCCCTTTTATAAGCTGTGCCCATTAGCTCTGAAATGGAAAAAAGTACGTAGATAGACCACACCTGTATTTAAGTCACAGGTGTCCATCTTAAAAATACAATAGACTACCAAGAAAAGTCACTAATCATTACCTTTGTCTTCCTCCTGTGCACTAAAACCACTAAAGTCGTCTTTTTTAGTGTCAGTATTGAACAGTCTCTCACACTTCTTCAGTCTCTCTTTCACTGACTCTCTCAAGTCACTTTTGACTCTAGATCAATTCACTCTTGAGCTTGTGCTGTGCTATTCTTCACACAGCAGCCCTGGTGGTAGTAACAACCTTTTCAGCCCGTCAGTGTTGGCCTTCTAATGAGCCATCATTTGATCCAGGTGTGTTAAACCAGGGAGAGAACTAAAACATGCAGGATGCCGGCCCTTGAGGACCGACTTTGGGCACCACTGATCTAAACCATTCCATTGTATCTCAGGCTGAATGTTTAGGGCCACTGTGCAGGTGGAAGGTGAACCTCCACTCCAGTCGCTATGTCTTTTGGAGCTACTAACAGGTTTTCTTCCTCTATCTGGATATAGCTCTATTTTTAAACTCTGAACAGCTTCCATGAAGCATGCCCACAGCATGATGTAGCCACAACTATGTTTCACAATTGTGATGACATGTTCAGGGTGATGTTACTTTTCTGGCACACAGCATCTTGTATGTAGGTCAAAGTCTTGAATGTTGATCTCCTTTCACCACAGCACCTTCTTCCACATATCTTCTGAGTTGCATGCATGGCTTCTGGATTCTCATGAATTTATTTATTTCTGCAGTTTTTTTAAAGGCCAGATTTGTAGATCTTACCATTCATAGTTGTCCCGTTGACTGGTTTCTCTTTGTAAAAATCTTTGAAATGCTATTTTTCATCCACTTAGTTATGTTACTTTTGTGTTGGCCTGATCTCATTGATGATTCTGATTATGTGACAAAATGTCCTAAAAAATCTGAATACCACTGTAGATCATGTTCTCACATGTAATTTCTCTGCTTTACCTTTTTATTTGTGTAATCACATTAATGTCTCCTCCTCAGATGCAGACTATAAAGTGTGTGGTAGTGGGTGATGGTGCTGTGGGAAAAACCTGCCTGCTCATCTCCTACACAACCAACAAGTTTCCCTCTGAATACGTACCAACCGTGAGTAACCAATAATAAAATACCACTTGTTATACACTGTGAAGTGGTTAAAGCTAATATGAATTGATATTTATAGAGCTGCAGAAGCAGGGTTATTTTTTTACCCTTAACACTGTGCAGCTCTTTCCCGGCACACAGGAAGTGATACTTGTTTACGGTGTCTGGATTGAGAAAACAAAATGAGCTTTTACCAGAACTCCAACCTTTATGAAACTGAAAGATATCACACTACTGCCAAATATGAATATAATGTTACATTTCACTGTAAGTTTATACCAAATGATTGTTTTTTTTTCCTTTTAAACAAAATGTATCAGAAGTTGGCCCAATAAAGCTGAAGACAGATCAGTGAGTTTCAACCCTTTCTGGCCGTGTAGCACCTGATTTAGCCTCCGTTTGTTGGTGGATGTGCAGAGTGCCTCAGTTTTATGGATCAGATTACTGCTGGGAGTGGTTCCAGAATAGTTCATGTTATATTCCGGCACAAGCGAGACTGATCTTGCACACCTGAGTATGTATGCTGACATAAACACAGAGATCTACTTTCACTTTTATTATGAGTTCCATGAACTGATTAGATGTTTGCAAAGTGAGTGAGATCAAAATTAGTTTTGTTATTACACTTTTTCATTTACACTCATAGTTATATTATAAACATAATTGAAAAATCCCAGACTTGGTATAATTTCATTTTAATGTATGCATTTTGGATTTAGGCAACTCATGGTGGCAGTTTGTTGCACCTTAAGAAATCAGCCATGCATATACTGTTTGTAAGTATTGGAGCAGCACCCTGCTGAGTAACAGAACCCCAACATTCTGCAGCTTTATGCAAAATGTGGTTCAGATTCTCTGCTGAGGATGCAAACTCTGCGTTCTGCCTCGTAACAGCAGAACAGCTGATTTTAAGTTGGAAACATTCAGCGTATAGACAGCTTCTTCTCTTGGCACTTCTTAGCCCAGTTTGATGAGACGTTTGCAGAACCAGCAATGCTGACTCAGCTTTTACTTCTGTTAATCCTGTTTTTAGCACTGATTTTTATTCTTATGTAGTTTGTTTCCCATAAAACTGCATCTTTATTTCCATAATAATTTATTTTGTCTACAATTTTCATATAATACTATTCTTATCTCTCCAGTTTGTCAAATTCCATTTGTATTCTGGTCAGTTATGGTTTTATTGTTAAAGTTCTTATCACCTAAACAACATCCTCTTCCTGCCAGTGTTTCTATTATTAGAAACAACCTTATTTTTCCACTTTATGGTCAACTTTTCATCTATATTCCCTTATAGCCGCCAGGATAAATGACAAGAACTTTTGAACAAGCATTTTTTTCTCACAGTTTTATATATTAGCTCTTGCTTTCCAGCTTCAGAAGCAGGCACAGCTGTAGCCTCGTCAACCGATTCATCACAGCAAACGCAGACAAACCTCCGGTTTCCTCTTTGATTCATTGTGTTGTTGCAGCTTCTTGCAGTGTTGTTTCCTGTGAGTCATCTGACAATCACCACAGTAGGAGAGGTGATTTTCAAGGAGAGGGTGACTAAGTCTAACCCTCTCCTCAGAATTTACTGATTTATTGTTTTTTTAAGGGTATCTCGTTTTATCATTTGGCATCATTTCTATATGAGTATCAACAGTGTAGATGGTGTACCTTTTTAAATATTAAGCTTTTTTCACTGTATTGTATTTGATCGGGTTGTTTGCTGGAGCTGCTGTAGTCTTAGCGTAATCCAAAAATGTATACTGAAGTACTCAACAAAGAGCAGCCCAAGAAATTACTCAAGTTGAGTAAAAACATATTTTAGAACACAACAGCCCTTTAATATTTAAAATTTACATCGTCAGACAGACCAAAATAGTTACATGGAAATGTTGGTATTTTAAGGAGCAAAGTGAAAATAACTCATATAATTAACATAATTACCAAATAACAAAATCAGCCAAAAGAAACATTTTTCCAAATCAATTTCTTTCTATGAAACTTTAACGAAAACTGCAAATGTGTGTCTGTTTGGTGAATTTTTGGTTAAAAATGACTTGTTGTTCATTCAGTGAAATTATTCACAGAGGATAAAGTATCCAGAAATTTTACTCCGGTAAGCATAGTAATACTTCATAATAAACTTATTCAAGGAAAAGTAAAATGGAGAGCATAGTAAAAATACTCCTAAACGTAAATATTTTCCAAAACGTTATTCAAGTAAATGCAACTGAGTAAATGTGGCTAGTTACTGCCCAACTCGGTACATAAGTATTCACACTACCTGTGACCTTTTCTACATTTGAGAAAAAAAAACATATCTATCTTTCTTCACTCCATTCTCAGAAAACGCTGAATTAAATCAGGTGCCTGAAGTTATCTAATTAGTAAATGAACTGACCGTGTGTAATAACTAATCTCAGCTTAAACAAAGCTTTTTTGTGAAGGTCTTTGGGGATTGTTGTAGAACAATATTGAATAAACCACATTATTAAGACCAAAACCAGTGAGATCAGTAGTAAGCACCAAGCTTTAACATCTTAGGTTTTACAATCGGTTCCCTGAACATAGGAAAACTAACTGCACATCATGCTGATGACACCATCCCGCTGTGAAATTATTCAATTTGCCAGCAAGAGGTGGTGTAAGAATTCTTTACGTCACATTTTTAGATTTTTATTTTAAAACAAATTTGAAAAACCTTGTATTATTTTATGCTTGTCCACCAGGTAAATTTCTGAGATTACGTTTAGGGAAAATACAGTCTAGGCCTCGGAGTATCCCAACTTTACTTGTGTTTTAATGATGTCAACATGTTTCCCTTGCCTCGCCCCTCCGCTCTGTTTCCGTTTGCCTGTTTTTGTCAATACATGTCGGTGTGATTCACCTCAGGCTGCCTTTCCAATTCAGCTTGTTGAACTGAACTAATGCACATTTTGTGGTTTTTGGAAGTAATAATGGAACTAAATAAAGTAAATTTAGTTCATTATGTAAATAATGTTGGTCTATTTACAGCATATGTAAATAGACCAACATTTAGCTCTGTACTTTTAATAGTATCGGAGCAAGACCTAGAGAAACTCCTGTTATTTATAAATTGTGGAGTACTTGACAACACTGAACAAGAATCAAACATGGAGAACCAATACTTAGATTTTTTTTGTTACCCTTACCTTTGTTAGCTTCAGAAATTACTATTTTACCCTTTTAAACTTGGTACTCTAGAAGGCAGAGACACAAGTTTCTTATTTGTTATTAAATTCCCTGTTTTTAGTGTTTTTTTATTCTACAGCTTAGGCTTGGATATGGCTAATAAAATAACCAGTAAATACTGTTTATTACAATTAATTCACTATTTAACAATGTTTTTACATTGGACCATGTTGGTTTCGACAGCTTCTATTGTTCAAATGACAAAATAGCGTTTTGTTTTTACTTGTGGAGTTTTTGTCTGATATTAAAAATTATTTGATCTGAAAATGAAAACATAAAAAAATGGATCCAAATAGATGATTTTGCTAAATTTTGGTTCAACTATGATTTACGGTGTAAGAAAATGGTATGTGACCTCTATTCAGTCTGGTTTAGCTGGATCTTACCTCAGCATTCTGGGTTTTATTTAAACCAAAATGTCTGCAGGCTACAGCAAACAGCAGCAGGGCTGGCTGTTTGTTGAAGCTGTGCATTCCTGCTTTAGCTCATTTCCACTTTTGAAGAACTGATTTTGCACACGCATGTTGCAACTGCGCTGCATGTCAATGCGCATGGCAGCAGCCTGAGGGCATGGGAGAAGAATGAGTAAGACTCAGCAAGCTTGTTCACCTGAGCAGCAGTTCACCAAAATATCTTTAACTTTTCTTTTCAATTGTTTGCTGCTAGTGAACAGGATATTTGAAGCCACTGTGTTCAGCACAGCCCATTCAAAAAGGCAGCCTCACATGATTTACGGTTGTGTGAGGGTGGAGCTTTGTCAGAGCAGTAACACCACCTGACAAAGGCTATGTTAAATGTAAACAGGAAGTTTGTTTTTGTTGACGTGGAGATGACGCAGTAAACAAGATATTTAAAACACCCACAAAGACACGTCCTCATTTCACCGCCATCCCAGATGCTGTGGTTCAAATAGCTCAGCTGTTGCAGCTCATTGGTCAATGTCTCACACAATTTATGAAATAACTGGCTTCAGAGTCAGAGCATGGCTTTCTGTAGTGTTAAAGTACGATCAAAATGGTTCTTGCATTCAAACAGGTCAAAGAGTATTGTGTTGTATTGTTAAACATCTCCAGGGTTTCCCCTAGAAAACTTGCTAAGCCTGGTGGTCGGGGCGTCGAGACGGTCCACCGGTGGTCCTCTGTGTTTTTGTATTAAAAAACACAGACAGGAAATGTAAAAGTATTACTGTTTAATTATATGATACGGGAAAAGTTCTCCAGTGAAATGCTATTTAAACCCAAAACTAGTCTAAAAACAACAAATGTGCACTTCTGTTTAATCCAAATTAAGTCAGCAGCTCCGTCAGGCCCCCAAGAGCTTTGTGATTGGTCCGTGCGCTGTCGGCTTTAAATGTATAAATTATAACCTATCTATTATAAACCTATCCTTTAGGAATTAATCTGCTCTGCTAGTGAAATGTTCAGAGCAAAAGAGACGCTTGAAGCCCGGCTTTAAAAAAAAAAAAAAACAAGAAAAAAAAAAAAAAAAATATTTATTTATTTTCCTAGAAACGTAAACAAGCAATGCTTAGCCTGGCGGCGGGGCTAGTAAAGCATGGCGGGCCACCAGGCTTATATGGGGGAAACCCTGATCTCAGTACAGCTGCATGGGCGGTAAACTGTTTTACTTTGCATAATTTAATAATCCTGGAAAGCCAAGCCTGAGTTTCTTTTTGTACATTTATTTATTTATCCCTAAGCCAAACTAAATGTACTCATTCCATCCAGTTATATTCAAAGAGTCATTGTGGATGGTGATGCTGTAGGCAGGGAGGATGTCCAGTAGCAGTAAGTCTTGCAACAAATCGGAAGAAACCTCTGGCTGAAGAGATTCAAGACACTGTTGCAAAGGAGAGTAAATGAAAATCCATACCATCTTCAATGAATAAGACATCTTGGCTATGTTGGAAGGCATGAACTATTTTTGCCACCCTTTCTAAAAATCTACAGTTTGTTTACTTTCCATTTATTTGTGCATTGCATAGAAACAGATTTAATTCAGTCAAGTGTCTTTATAAGTAAGCCTTTCTTCAGCCCTCTTCCTGTTATTTCTCACAATTTCACTTCCCTTTTCACAGGCTTCCTCTTGGCTTATTTTTAAGTCCGTTTCATCTTTTGCCTTGTTTCATGTCCAGGTCTTCGATAACTATGCTGTGACAGTGATGATCGGAGGGGAGCCATACACCCTTGGACTGTTTGACACTGCAGGTGATAATAAATCTGCATATATCTATTACCTTTTGTGATTGATAATTCAGGTGTTGTTAGCACCTAAAGTAACTGAAAAATTAAAGGCAGTGTTGGTATTCATACTGTAGTAACCCTTTCTTTTATTGTTGAAGATTTAAAGTAACTTCCTTGTCTCCTTCCTGTCACTACTTAATTGCTTAAGTTTATTTTTTGTAATTATTATTTTAGTTTTAAGTGTCTCTGTCTCCCTCTGCAGGTCAGGAGGACTATGACAGACTGCGACCCCTTAGCTACCCTCAAACCGACGTCTTCCTTGTCTGTTTCTCAGTCGTATCCCCTTCCTCCTTTGAAAACGTCAGAGAGAAGGTTTGGTCACTTTAATTGTATAGCAATGGACATTCTTCCTAACTTTATAAATAAATGATCATTTATTGAACTTATGCAAATATCACTTTTGCAACAATATAGTTGAAATTCTATAGGTTGATGTTCTCCCTTGAATAGTTACTGTTTTTTTATTTATTTATTTATTTTTTAGTTTAGTTTTTTGACAATCTCCAAGTTGTTGCAATCCATATTTCATCCTCCTCCCAAAAGAAATGAGAAGATTTCAGCTTTAAAATACTGGTACATCTGCCAACATGATTGGCTTTGATGTGATTTATCCTCAATATGCAGACGACTATAACTTTCTCCCAAAATTAAATTTGGATTTAGCAGCTCTGTAGCTGAGATCGGCTAGAATGTTAAAACCAACCAGTTGATCTTACCTTGAGATTTGTTTTTTGCCAGTTGAATAAATAAACTCAAATGAAAGGTTGAATTTTTCTTCGTTTGAGGTTTTGTTACTGAAAGAAAAGACAAATATATTTTGAGGCTTTTTGTTTTGGGGCATTTTCTACAAATATAAATAAATGGAGGTCGCGTTTTAAAAAGACAAATAATCTAGCACAAAACCCAGCCTGACTCTAAATTTAGCTCTGACATTTTTCTTTTATTCAGTGTCACTTCTCGGCTCTGCTTTTAAAAACAAGATACTGTACAATAGAACCAGTCATGAAGGCCTTGGGATATAAATATAATCCAAGTTCAGTTCATTGACTTTAATTTTTACTTTTTTTTTAATCACAGTGGGTTCCTGAGATTTCTCACCACTGCCCGCGGACGCCCTTCCTGCTGGTTGGAACTCAGGTGGATTTGAGAGATGACAGCAACACAATGGAGAAGCTGGCCAAGAACAAACAACGACCCATGAGCTCTGAAAGTGGGGAGAAACTGGCACGAGAGCTCAGAGCTGTCAAATATGTGGAGTGCTCAGCTCTGACGCAGGTAAATTGGAGGGAGGCAACTGCTTCTGACTGCAGACTCTCACCTCACCCCCACTGGAAGGCCCCGCAGTCCAAAGCCCTTTCTGATTCAACCGTGTCCAAGTTCTCTTCTGGTTCACAACTATCCAAATACTGATAAACTATTTATAATTTGTCAATTCACCAATTTAGTTTGTGACTAAGGAATTAGGCCATGAAAGTAAAAAACTTACCAACTAGAGAAGGCCTCAGAGAAAATGGAGGGCCTGAGAATGGCACCATATATCTAACTGTTAATGATTATATTATAACATATGCCAAATATTTAAATACATGAATGTGTTTTTAACCACATTCGTAAGAAACTCATATAAAGGCAGAATCTCCAAGCATAAACAAACAAGGTGTTTATTACAACTCTGAGTGTGTTTCTTAACTTTTACACAAGACGGGACTTGTCAGGCTGTAACGGACTTGTCAGGATTGCTGCATGATCACATTTGCATTGCACAATGCCTGAAAGAGCAGGAAGTGTTTATGAAGTCATTAAAACAAATTTTAAAAAACATGTAGTAGTTCCAATAAGTCAGTCAGGTCCATATTAGACAAAACCTATGCAAAAACAACTGCACAGCTGGTGAGCATCGTTCAAGGACTTTTTGAAAATTATTTTTATGTATATAGGTGAGTATACTGAGTAAAATAGAGTGACAGTTGTATAAAATTAAGAAAGTGATTTTAGTTTTTCACTTTAAAATGCAAAGCTGTCAATGATGTAGGAGTGTAATAAGAACTTATGATTTCAAAAAGCAACAATATTTCATATTAAAGTGTCACAAAGTGCTATCTATCTGAGATTATGAAGTGACTTGCTGAGGAAGTTAGCGTAAGCTATTATGAGTCCTATGTGTCAGCTTTAACTTTAACACCTCGTATCTATTTATAAAACTAATTTTGAAGCAAGACAGGTTTTCTACATGTTTGAACCTCCCACTGCTTTTGAGTGTTTTCTTTGTGTGGAGCCATTTTGGATGTTTTGCGGTTAGAGAAGTGGTGACAGACACGATACAAAAGTTTTAACACTGAATCTGCTTTAGAGACACTAAGCTAAAGAGACAATTCACAGTTTTTTTAATGCATATTATCATCTCCAGCTTACAATTTAAAACGGTTACACTGATAAAACCTGAACTGAATAATTCTACACTGAAGTTTTTAAAATCCAGTTTAATTGATCAGATTTTTGTTGGAATATAACCAGCGTAGTTAGACATCTACATGAAAACTTGAATCACTAGTCAAATGTGGAGTGACATTCACTTCACTGATTACAAATAACATCTGTGAAAACAAAAAACAAGAGTATCATTACTTTTCAAAGCACTACTGCTAAAATCTCACCCTTTCCTGAAGAGCCTGATATAACATCTTGTATGGGCGCCCAGCTACTACTACAACTTTTAGATGCATCCTTTCTCCAACGCACCTGGGTGAATTGAATTAAATTAATTTAAACAGAAAACATCCTGCGATGACTGAAAACTGAAAGCTAAAACTGACAGTTTTACTTTGTTTTCTTTATCACTGTTATATTGCAGTGAAACTTATTGTGATGTTGTTTTTTCCTTATTCGTCCTACTACGGCTGAAATGATTAATCGGATTCATTGCAATGAATCAGTTATTGAAATAATTGTCAACTAATTTAGTAATTGATTAATCGTTAACTGGTTTTCACATACTCAAAAAAAGACAATTTTGAGGAAAGAACATAAAGCAGTAATTAAGCCTACACTGTACAAAAATATACATACTGCATTTAAAGTTAAAAAATAAAAACCTTGATATTCCTAAAACTCCTCAAGTGGTTTAGTTTTGGCTTAACCTGGTTCAACTTCTGTAAAGATATAAACGAACAGAAATCTCCTATTAAGCATCTTTTGCTATTTGATTATTAATCAGCTAATCCAAAAAAAAAGTTCTCATTGTTTGATAATCGGTAGATTAATCCATTTCTAATATCATTACATCTTACCCATAATCTGTTAACTAAATCAGGGAGTGGTATGATGAATTTGCACCTTTAAAAAAAAAGGAAAAAAAAGTTTCTCTTTGTGACTGATTTTTTTATTTTTTATTTTTTTATTTTTTTTTTAGAGAGGATTGAAGAATGTGTTTGATGAGGCCATCCTGGCAGCTCTGGAGCCCCCAGACATCAAACCCAAAAAGCGCTGCTTTCTCCTATAGAAACCTTCTGCAAGACGTGGAAGACGAGGAGCAGAAGAAGATGGAGGTGGACGAAGAAGAGATCAATCCTGTACGGGAACAGAGGGAGGGAGCACCAAGGGGAGGGGTGTAGACACATGTTTAAACAGTGCCTTCAGCCGTAGTGACCTAACATGGGTGTGGTGTTAAAACTGACAGGCGCTTTATTTTCCTAGTAGATAAGTCGCTCTAACATGGTAAACATTTATGAACTACACTCCACACTAACAAGTAAACAGGATTTTCTTTTGATAATGGGATGCGATGAACTGCAAGGCACGGATGGAGACAAGTTTACAGCTGAAACAGAAAACCAGTTCCTCATTTGGAGAAATATTTTAGCAATAAGGCACTGACAGTCTGCAGGAAATTAAAGAACTATATTATTAGTGTTTAAACACCTTCCCTTTTATGTGCCAGCTTTACTTCTCTGTACATCAAGTTTTATGTGCGTTCATTTTCTTTTTCCTTTTTGTTTCTTCTGCCATAAATCTTTTTCTAGTGCCAAAAATGCATTTTGAATCCATATATTTATTTGAAATGGCATTCTAAAAGGTTAATAGAAACACAATAAGTGCTTTGCTTATGCCACTGGAATTCAGTTTTTGGAGCAAACTATATAACTTAAAGGCATTTTTAATGTTAAAATCTTTACATCCACAACTATGTCTAAGTGAGTTTAATTATTATTATTATTATTATTATTATTTTTCAAACAAAATGTGTTTGGAAATGTTCAATTTTCAAACACATATTATGTTCCCTAAATCTGGTCTTAAAGTACTGTTCTATGATGCTTAAAAATTTATAACTGAATAATAAATAAATTTACTTTTTACTCATACAAAAAAAGAAACTGAAAACCTGGCCCTCCATCTGAACAAGTTATCTGGAGTAATGTAAGAACATGACGAGCAGGATCTACAGGTTTGTCCACACGGCAACAAAGAAAAGTTGGTATCTGACCAATGTGGAACAAACACATGTTTGAGACTTCAAAGGTTCTGCGACACCTTGAACCGAATCACTGCAATAAAACTCATATTTACTTTTAAGGCTTCAATTTTTAATGATAAGTCAATTACGGTTGTTTTTAGTTTTTATTAATAGTGCAAAGAGTAAAGTGTATGCATTCTTGGAGAAAAAAGCATTTTTTAAAGACATAAAATACGTTTCATTGTTAAATAAAAGTTGTGCCTTTTAGTTTTTCCACTCCAGGAAAGAGTGATTAAAACTTTGCTTGAATACATTTTAGATTCTTGGAGGTTTAAAGTGCTCAACATGTTTGATAGTCTCATTGCCTTAACTCAGTCAAACTCCTAATACTTGGTTGCTTTAATCTAATGGTGAAAATTACCATTACTTTTTATTTTAATTATCTTTAAGCTATGGTGAGCCATAACGTCCAGAAATTTTGCAGCTTTATTTCATCGATCTCAAACGGTTAACACAAAACCACGTAATGTTTTCTATTCTGATTATTTTGTTCTTCTGGAAACATCTCTCTAGTTTTTAGCACCTGAACGCCTTAAAAAGAACTGCTGTGGTTCAAATGTTCCTTTGCTGTTTCTTCTTCCAAAGTTCAACTAAATCACTGCTTCACAGATTCCAGAATGTTGATCTAGATGTTAATATAATTATTAGGAATTACCATTTGAATTATTCATAGATTTTATTTCGTTGCTGTTACGCTGCTTTCTTAGCCCAACTTCTTTGAACAAAATGAAAACTAAAGCTTGTTTTCTTAGCAGAGCTTCACATTTTCACTCAGCAGTTGTGCTTATTCAAAAACTGTTCCTCTGGGGACTAGATCTTTTTCTTTTTTTTTTATTTTGCTTTGAATGGGATAAAAGGTGATGTATATTATTTTATGGAGTTTCAGTGCTCTGTAACACTGACTGTCCTGAGCCCAGAAAACTGTTTTAATCCTTCACATGACTGTATTTTCTAATGAAATGAACACAAAATCCTTTTTTTTTAAACCAATCTGTTGATGTTGACATTTTGATCAGATATTGAATGGACTATTACGAGTATTATATAGATATTTTTGCTTCTTGTTTCTTTGGGGACAGTACTCTTGCAGGGTTTTAGACACTTTAAGTTTTGATTTCTTCTTTGTGCCTTTTAGACATTTTTACAACTACTTGATGAACACACAGAGTGCCAACAATCACGGTATCGCCGGCTTAGTGTGGCAAACAAAAAGGTCTTTAATAAGCTTCCCATGTCAAAAACAAAATATATTTTAAAACAATACTTGGAGATTGAATAATATTTGTCATGCATTAAATTTGAATGTTTGTTGGAATGGGTGTGTGGAAATAATAAAAATAGTACTTGAATGTTTTATCTTGATTGATTCTATTTTATTGCTGCTATCTGTCAGAAGAGCAACACTAATAGTATTGTGTTTTGCAGTCTGGTATAAGCAAAGCATTTCATGGCAGTGTAATTAAATCAAATTATTTATTCACTTGAAAAATAATAATTCTGTTGTAAATGGGGAAAAAAACTATACAAACATTTATATTCAACAATGGCAATATTTTTTTCAGTTTTTCTATGCAATACTAAGTAATACTAATTGGATCTTATTTCATATACCAACGGAAAGTAGTGTAAAATTGCCCGAGTCTCAAATCGTTCTGAGGCTCTAACAGGTTGTCTTCCAGAAATGTCCTTTATTCTCCCTGCTTTTTGCTCTCATCTGAACCGAGTACATTTCTTCACACAGTTGCTTTTTCCCCTACATGTTCTCCCAACATGACTTATTTTGGCTTTCTTAAACATTTTTGCTTTAATTTTGCCACTTTACCATAAAGTCCTGATTTATTTGAGTTTTCTCAGTTTTCTGCAGATTTTCCAGCCTGAACTGCGCATCCCTGCAGCTCCTCCAGAGTTACCTCTTTGGACCTCTGCATCTTTTGCTGCCATTTTAGGTGAACATCCATTTTTTAGAGATTGCAGTTTATTATTTAATTTGATTATTCCAAATATTAGAATAATTACTTATCGTTTTATCATCTCATTGAAGGGGGCAGAACTTGCCATACTTTTCAGATTTATATTTGTAAAAGAAAAACTTTGCTGTTCACAATTTTCGTTCCAGTTCATAATTGTGTATTAACTTGTGTTGATCTATAAAAAAAAATCCAGATTCAGACTAAATATGGGTGAGTTGAGGTGATTAGTGCTTGTCTTTTTCTTTATTGACTATTGAGATCAATGACACTATTAGAATCATATGTTATTTTTTTCTTTCCCATCTTAAAAATGGGCTTTAATGTGATAATGACAATAATAGGGTAAAAGCATATTTTTGCCAAAATGACTTTTCTTGGTTGTTTTCATTTTAAATAGAACAATTAAGATGAACCTAAAACATTTTTGTTTATTGTTAAATTGTTGCATTTACATTTTATGAGAGGTGCAGTGCCCGACAGTGAACAGCAGGAGGAGTTGCTCCCTTGGTTTTCAGTGGTCTTCCCCAGTTGATACAGTATGTAAATGATCAAGACTCATTTTTGATTGGCACTCTAAAATGGATCCTTCAGCCCGACGCAGCATGGAGGCTGCATGTTCCTTTGTCTGTGTGACGACAGCATGAATGAGACGGAGAAAAACAAAAATATGTGTAACTGTTCAGTCTCAACACAATCTGGTTCATCTTGTCCTCCCAGCCTCTGTTCAGCTCCTTACTGTCTCAGCTTTCTCCTCACATCTTCATCTCTCATTTCTTTTGTTTGATGTCGGAGCTCTTTGTGCTCGGGTTCTTTCGGCTGCTTCAGGAATTTCTTTTTGCAACATTTCTCAATCACATGGTTTTTACAGACATGGACTCCTGGGAGTTCCTGTGACTATTTCTCTATGTTCATTAGAAGCTTAAATACACATCTTTCTCTATCCTTTTTATTTGAGCAAGTCACCAAAGTATGAATCCTGACAACTGAGAACTTAAGGTTCATTTCACAGCTTTAGATCCACACACATTCAATCTCCAGTGTTGGCCACGAAACAACCTTTGTGATCAGTTAACTTACCATATCACTGTATGTTTATTTTTAAAGTTTTGTCTTTCAACTGAAATTGATTTTGCTCTACATAATCACATTTGCATTATGAAGCATCTAAATAAGCATATTGATAATTACCTGTTTTTGGATAAGTTTAGTTCACCTGATTATTGGTGCTTGTAAAAGCATGAAGTATTGGACCCAGAACTGCTTCGGTTATTCACACTATGTAAACAACAAGGTAAAGGAAACATTCCTTACGTCCATTTCGACATGAAAGCATCACACAGTTTTTTTTTTTTTTTTTTTTGCTGCTCATCAATAATGTGAATCTCTTGTTCAAAGAGGTTCTATTGGATTGAGATCCGATAACCAGGCTATTGGAGTCCAGTTAGCTTCTTGGCTACCATGAGTTAAACTAGCTGCGGTCTTCTGCTATTCCCTATCATTTGTTTGTAGCCAGGGGTTAGTTTAGCTGGTATGGCCTTTCGATGTTGTCAGACCAGTATGTCCATTCTCTTGTGACCTCTGACATCGTCAACACAGCTGACGTTCACTGAAAATGTTCTCTTCTTTCTGACATTTCTCTGCTAGCCAGAGATAGTTTTGCATGAAGATCCCAGTGGATTAGCAGTTTCTGAAATACTCACACCAGCCCGTTTGCCTCCATTGACCATCTGGCCTTCAGAGTCTAATGGGACTTGATTTCTCATTGTCATGCTTGTTACTTTTCCCAAGAAATAAGAATGTCTGTTGTGTGGTAAAGTAGAGACCACTTCTGCAACCTCAACTTGGCCCTTCTCTGTTGTAAAGACAGTTTTTGATACTTGGGACTTACGCAGTACAGTTATTTGTGTGTATAACTTTGAGTTTAGTCAGTTTTTTCAGCTCCAGGTTGCCTTTAATTATCTCAAACTTAGAAGTTTCTGCTCTTGGTTTTTGCTGACCAGTCATTTTGTGATTTTTTTTTTTCTATTTTCCTTTCAACTCAAACTTCTTTGTGTCTACAAAATTACTTAATTACAAGGGGGCAAGAAAGTTTGAGTTGAACTTAAAAATGTTTCCAGGTCAGTTTCAGTTTAATTTGTCTGTTCTGTAATGAGCCATTGCTAAATCATTGTGTTGCCGTCTGTCCTGAAGCACCTCGCTTGTTGCTGTTTATTGGTTTGGCAGTTGAATATTATTGGATGTCCACCTGACCTCATTGTAAGTGTGTTGCCATAGGCGACCAGCGTGAAGACGGCAAAGAAGAGGGAGGGGGAGAGGGGGAAGAGTTGGTAGGGAGTGTTGCATTATGGGAAAGAAACCTGACCTCTCCCTTTTTTTTCATTTTTTTTTTTTTACTTGGAGGACGCCCACGTGCACAAAATACAGCCATACACACACACACACGCACACACGCAGACACACACTTTGTCTAAACACAGATGCATTAGAGTAGACAAGCAGCAGTGTGTCAAACCTGGTTATTGTGTCTCAGGATCTTGTTTGTACTCAAATGTAAAAAGAAAAGAAGATACCAATATGCAAAAATTTAACTCACACGGGATTCTTCTGTTACAAACACAAACTATACAAAGAATAAAGTATGTTGTGGCTGAACCTTGCGGAAAAACGTGTGGCATAAAAGAAACAAGAAACGTCCATTTCATGGGTCACTGAAAGCAGAATAAAGGAGCAAAATTAGCATGTTCACCACAATTCATCTTAAATAGAAACATGGATAAAAATGTGTTTTAATAACCTTAACTGTATAAGAAGTCACACTGTTTTGCTTTAATTATGCACCTTTTGATTCATTTTCAGAAGTTAGTAATTTTAATTTCACATCAGTCATCAATTATAGTAAATCAGATAGACCTTTAAAAAGTTCAGTTTTCTAAGTAGGATTTTCTTGACATTTGCCAAATGCCTGTTTGCAGAAAGACAGCATTGCATCTAGACCTTGGCACAATGAAAATAGCCATCAGTACTTGTCGAATATGTAGCAATAATGACATTAAAAAACCTGGATGTTTCTCTAGATGTGTCAAAAAGATGAGACACAAGTCACACATCAAAGGAAACTTTCCAACAGCTTCTGGTTGTGACCAGCAGGTAGAGTAGTTGTCTTCCATCTGGAGGGTTGTAGGTTTGATTCCAGCTGCCCCCTGTTCCATCTTGGTGTGCCCCTGTGCAAGGAACTTAACCCCAAATTGTGTACTGATCTGTGCATGAATGTGTAATGTGTTAGTGACTGTGGCAGTAGTGCAACGCGCTTTGAGTGGTCAGAATGACTGGAAAAGCTCTTTATAAATTCAGTCTGTTTA